TCAGTTTTCCGCTGCTGTTTTCATTTCATTCCTGCATTGACCTACCCTTTCCCTGCATTTCCTTGCCCCACCTGTCGCATGCCATGATGCGCTGAAGCTGCGCCTATGCCCTGGTTGTGACGCAATGCTTGGCAGCAATAGGAATGTAAGGCCCTTCGCAGTTGGCAGTCCGATCAGAGTGGGACGCTGCCGTGGTGCACCGCCGCCACCGGCGCGCATGAGTTGCCCGCATTAGGCACGTGTGCGTTACCACAGTCTATCATCCGCATTCAGCGCTATCCTGTGGCATTCTGGGGGCTCGTCAGGCGGCTATACAGCCCAACATGGCGCTCAGCAGGGTTTGCCTGGCCGTGGCACTTTGCTGCTTGGCCGCGTGCGAGGCCAGACATCCTCCTATTGGGCCCTACAAGCTCTCCAGGGGCACCCGGAACGCTGGACCGCAGCAGGGAGTGGGGGAGAAGCCCCTGATCGAGCGCTGCAAGGAGAGGTGGCGGGAGACGCGGCTGGATCACTTCACGTGAGCGGGAAGGTTGGGAGGATCGAGCGCCGAAACAATCGCAGGGCGAGGAGGAGCACACTGCCACTGCCGCCATCACTGCCCTGCCGCCACCTGCTGCAGTTGGGTCAACCCCACCTACTTCAAGCAGCGCTTCTTCGTGTGCGACGAGTACTGGCGGCCGGGCGGCTCCGTCTTTCTGTACATAGGCAACGAAGCGGTGCGGCAGTGCTGTCTGCTGTGTCGACCGAGCGTGCGCAGCTGCAGCACCACCAGCTCACCAGCGCCGGCTGCCCTCTCTGCACCGCCCTGCCCCCCTCTGCTGCCGTACAGGACGTGACTTTGTACCTGAACAACACGGGGCTGATGTGGGAGCTGGCGCCAAAGTACGATGCGATGCTGGTGTTTGCAGAGCACCGCTACTACGGTGCGCGTGTGATGCCGTGGGTGGCATGGGGTGTACGCTGCTGATGTGAGAAGGCGGCGTGCTTGTGCAGAATGGATGCTCAGGGGCTGGGTGGCAGCTTGTCGGGCTTGCCAGCAAGTTGCTGTTGACAGCAGCCGCTGGTCTGCCTGGCCAGGGGCGGGCTGCCAACCACCCCGTCCACTCGCCGCCGTACGCCCGCTGCCACTTCCTCTCGCTGCCGCCTGCACTGCGCTGCAGGCCAGTCCAAGCCCTTCCCTGCCAGCGTGCTGCGCAAGCACATGGCGTGGCTGACCAGCGAGCAGGCCATGGGCGACTATGCCACGCTGCTGTGGGAACTGAAGCGGGAGCTGGGGGACCCTGACGTGCCAGTCATCGGCTTTGGAGGGTGGGTGGCTGCGGTCTGTGTGGTGGTGGTGGTGTGACTGCCTCGCCGCCGCCCGGCCAGTGCGGCATGGCATTGCGCCGCGGCCTCCTGCGACTTGCTGATCGTCGCCATGCCCGCCATGCTGCTGCCAAATCCTGCTGCTCCTTGTGACGGGCAGGAGCTATGGCGGCATGCTGGGCACTTGGTTCCGAATGAAGTACCCCCATCTGGTGGATGGAGTGATTGCAGGGTCAGGTGCGGGTGGGTCAGACCACAGGGAGGGTGCCCGCTTGCCTTCTCAACTGTCCTAGCCTCTGCAAGCCATGCCGTGCGCTCCCAGCCCCATGGCACGCCAGGCTGCTCACTGCGTGCTTGTGCCTGCCTGCACTGCGCTCGCCTCTTACTTCCCTTGAACACAACCAGCAGCCCCCATCTGGACATACAAGGGCGAGAATCCTCCCTACGACCCAGGCTCATTTGCCAAGATTGTCACCCAGGACGCCTCGCCTGAGGGAGGTAGCGCCGAGGCCTGTGCCGACAATGTGAGGGCGGCGTGGAAGCTGCTGGACCGCTGGGGGAGCTCCGGTGAGCAGGAGGGAGGGAAACGTCGGTGGTGGTGGTGGTATGCATTCTTGGAATGCTGGGAGGCACTGCTGTGGGAGGATGCTGCATAAGGGGCACTGTGAGTGCAGGCGTGTCGGCTGGTTCAGCTGCCCGCGCCTGTCCCTCCCTTTGCCCGGCGCGCAGAGGAGGGCCGGCAGTCGATCAGCGCCGCCATGCGGCTGTGCCCCGAATCCGCTGTGGAAAGCGGGGAGGATGCCACGGCGCTGTGCGACTGGGCCTCCTCAGCCTGGGACTACCTGGCAAGTGCAGCACGTGTGGGGGCTTGGTGGGGGCTTGGCACATCCATCGGTTGGCACCCGTGCTAGCCTGGGGCATCGCTTGGTTTTGCGTCGGTCTGGCTCCTGCTGCGAATGACTGGCAGCGCACTGGCCAACCACTTGCAGGCGATGGGCAATTATCCTTACCCTTCTGTGTATATTGTCAATGGGGCGCAGCCGCCGCTGCCTGCCTTCCCGGTGCGACGGCGCCGGTGCTGCCGGCTTGCCAACGGTGCTGGTTGGCTTGCGTTTTGCCTGGGCTGCCACGGATTAGCTGCCGGGCAGCAGCACACAGCGTGCAGGGCAGCCCTCGGCCTGCATCCTTCCTGAAAACCGCTGGTGCTCCTGCCCGTGCTGGCTCCAGGTGCGTGTGGCGTGTGGCCACCTGGCTGAGCCCGGGCTGGATGGTGAGGCGCTGCTGGAGGGGCTGGCACGGGCTGCGGGCGTGTTTTACAACCACACCGGCGACCTGCCCTGCTTCTCTTTCAAGCAAGGGCCCAACCCGGAGACCGGTGAGTTGTGGCGGGGCGGGGCGGGGCGGGGCGGGGCGGGGGTGGCGTGCGAACCCAGCAGCGGGGCTGGCTGTGCCGTCTGCCCCGTCTGCTGGCTGCGAGCTTGTCTCCAGGTGTCCATGCCGCCCCCACCCGCACACCTAGACCTTGCCCTTGCACACCCATGTGGTACACCCGCATGCATTGCGCTGCCCCCCGCTGCCCGCCCGCAGACGAGGATGCCGACTTCTGGGGCTACCAGTACTGCACGGAGCAGTTCCAGGTGTTCTCCAAGGATGGGGTGCACGACATGTGAGTGGGGGGGTGGGGTGGTCGGGAGCCGGGCGGACCCATTGCTTGGTTTGCTTGGAGTTTCTTGTGTTTTCCCGTTTTTCATGTTGCTTCGCCGAAACCACTCCCCGCCTGTGCTCTGCTGCCTGCCCCACAGGTTCTGGGAGGAGCCCTTCTCGACCAAGGCCGCCATCCAGGACTGCAAGGACGGGTGGGGTGTGGAGCCACGCCCGCTATGGGCAACCATCGAGGTCAGGAGCGCAGGCGGCTGGCTCAAACATCTCGGGTCGGGAGATTCCTTGGCTGTGGGTCCATGTGCGAGCCAGGGCCACCCTGCACCAGCGTTGGGCTTGCCACTCCACCCCACCTCCTCCTTCTGAGCCTGCCCGCCTGCCCGCGGCTGTTCCCGCGGCTGTCGCCGCACCTCTACCGCAGTGGGGTGGCAAGCGGCTGGGCGCAGCCTCCAACATCGTCTTCTCCAACGGCCTGCTGGACCCGTGGAGCGGCGGCGGCGTGCTGGCCAACATATCGCAGGCAAACGACCTGGTGGCGGTGGTCATCCCGGAAGGTGGGCGGCGGCGGAGTGGGGATCGGGGCGTGGGGTGTGAGGGCGAGATGAGTTGGAGCCATGGGTGGCCCAGCCCTGTGGCTGGAATGGCGGTGGATGTCGCACCGCGCGCCTGTTTGGTGCACACGGGATGTGCCGCGTGGTGTGCGGCGCCCGCTGCCTGCCGCCCCCTGCAGGCGCGCACCATCTGGACCTGATGTTCAGCCACCCGCTGGACCCGCCCTCGGTCACCGCGGCGCGTGCATTTGAGGAGCACTACATTGCCAAGTGGTGGGTGGGTGGGTGGGTGGAGGGAGGGAGGGAGGGAGCTACTGTTGTTGTTGTCGGTGTGTGTGTGTGTACACAGGTACATTCCTGCACCTACATTGCTGCAGCGGTTTGCTGGCAGCACCATCTTGAGCCCGCCCTCGCCCTCCCTCGTCCTGCCTTGCCAACACTCTCCTTGATACAGGATCGCACAGGCGCGCAGCCAGCAGCGCTCCTCCCTGGCCATGGCGCAGCATGCCGCGGTGGCACAGCAGTGAGCTGCGGCCGTCGATGCGGCCGGCCGCACGCCCCGCACCAGACGGGGCGCCACGGCTTGCACCCTGCCTCTGCATGCACTTGCACGCCTCCCCCAATCTCAGCTGCTGTGGCCTGTTCCGGACGCAGCAGTTACAAGCCTTGCAAGCGCATCAATGTGACGTACAACATCAATATGTGCAACCGCATCATGTGACGCACGGCGCAGCCGTCGCTCACCGCCGCCCCTTCTTCTTGCCGCCCTTGCCGCCCGCGGGCCGGGCAGGCGCCTTGGGCTTGGCCTCAGGCTCGTCTGCAGCAGCGACAGAACAGGGCCGGCACTGTTGGCAATGGCACATGCCCAGCAAGGAAGGCTGGCCTCCTGCAGCACAGGTCGCCGCATTGCATGCAGGACGTTCCCTGTAGGCAACAAGGCCCAGTGCTGTACAGCTGCAGCCCATTTCAACCCTGAAGCATGCACGCACGCACACACACACACACACACACACACACACACACACACACACACCTGGCACGTTGGTCCTGTCCAGTGACTCATCCACCTTGCCGGCGCCCTGGCTGCCCTTCACAGCATCCTGCGGCGCCAGGCGAGGGCAGGCGGAGGCAGGCCGGCGCACCATGGTTGGGGATCACGCCCTGGCTGCATCGCACGATCACAAACCCAGCTGTTACCAAGCTGCAGGAGCTGCCTGCTCTCCCGGAATCACCTTGCCCTTCATCTTCTTACGCAGCTTCTTGGCATCCGAGCGCTGCCACTTGGGCAGCCAGCGCTGGGGGTCGGGGGGCGGGCCCGGGTTGGCCGGATCAAACCTGCAGCAGGGACAGGCAGGCAGATCAGGCAGGTTGGAGACAGTGCGACACACAGCCAGCAGTGCCTCGCGAAGAAGCCCTGGCGCCAGCTGGCCACCATGCCCCCACCCTTTGGGCAGGCGCTGCTGCCGCTTGCGCTTGCGCTTCTTGTGCTCCGCAGCCGCGCCGTCCGCCTTCTGCGCCTCGGGCGCCGCCGCCTCCTCCACTGCCTTGCGCCGCACGCTGGTGACCGCTGCACAGCGCCAGTGTGCGTGTGTGTGAGAATATGAGGGCAGGGCGGGGCGCACCGTGACGGTTGGGAGCAACAAGGTGGCACACTGCATGCCGCCCATAACGCGGCGGGGTCGGCTGTCCCTCCCGCTCCCTACCCACCCACATACTCATCCTACCCATCCACGACACACACCACACACCGCCGCTACACAACACTAACCCCCCATCCCACCTATGCTTGCATTCTCCAGAGCGTCCAGCTCCGCCGCCGACAGCTTCCCCGCCGCGCCCGGCAGCTGCCTGGCCAGCCCGGCGGCGTCCTGCGGGGCGCATGCCGCCGCCAGCTGCGCATACCGGGACAGCACCTCTGCGTCTGCGGCAACGGCAAGGGCAGGCGGCAGCGGGAGCGGGGTGAGGTGGGGGGTAAGGAGGCAGCGGGCCCAAAGCTGCATGCTTGCTGCTCGCGCTGGGGAGCTGGAGCGGGCGCGCTCGGCCACCGAGCCGCCTCAAGCATGTGCGCATGCCTAGATGTTGCAGCTGGTGGAGCAGCGCGTTGCTGGGCGCCGGCCAAGCTGCAGGCCATCTGAACAACCCTCCCCGCGCACCATGCAGGGCGGATGGGTCCAGGCCTATCAGCTGGCTGTAATGCGCCGCCGCCCGCTCCAGCGCGCCCTGCCGCAGGCACTGCGCCGCCAGCTGTTTCAGGGTCCAGCTCACGGCAGCGCTGCGCTGCGGGGACTCGGGAGCTGCAGGCGGGGCGGCAGGCACAAACAGGGGCACACGGAGCAAGTCTCAGCGCACAGCAAATGACTTTTCGAGGGCAGGTGCAGGGGTGCAGGAGCAAGCGAGTGGAGCCCAAGCAGGGGGGGGGTGCCAGCCAGGGCGAGGGTGGGCGCAGAGGGCGCCGCAGCGCCGCTCACCCGACTGCCACTGCTGCAGCGCCGCGCTCAGCATGCCCGCCGCCTCCTCTGCCTGCCCCTGCCCCTCCAGCAGCGCCAGCTTGGTGGCAAGCACGGCGGGACGGGCCTGCCAGGCGGCATCAGAGATGGACTGCAGAGAGAAGCAGGGGGAGGCGGAGGGGGGGTGAAGTTGGCACCCTCTTCGTTGGCATGTATGCCTGCATTTGCAGCCATCTCCTGGCATTGCCACAGCAGCTTCACGCGCACGCAACCCGCCTAGGGACGCCTCTGCCTGGCACCAAGCAGCAAGGACACAGCAGCAGCCGCAGCGGCGGCGCACCGACAGGTGCTGCAGCGCCTGCTGCGGGTCGCTGCGCGCCGCCGCCAACTGCGCCCTCATCAGCGCCGCCTCGGAGGCCCCGCCGCCGCCGCCCGCCGCCAGCGCCGCCAGCGCCGCATCCGCCTCCCGCGGTTTGCCCTCCCGCCAGAACAGCGAGGCTTGCAGCATGGCGGTGGCCGCCGCGCCCGGCAGCTGCTTCTCAATCGACCTGCGCAGCAGGGGAGGGTGCAGGGCGTGGTGTGCAGGGTGGTGTGATACAAGTCGGCAAGCTCGGGCAGACCCTGGCCCGCCTTGGCGCAGGGAGGCATGGGCGCACGCTGCGCAGCCAGCCGCCGCGCCGCCACGGCGCACGGGCACTACTGCAGCCGGGAGTGCACACATGCAGCTGGGCAAGCGAGCGACGAAAGCACAGGCAGCCGGGCGCAACGCCGCCCCCACCTGATGGCCTCCTTGGCAACGTCGTTCTTGTTGGCCAGCAGCGCGGCGCCGGCATAGCTGCACAGCAGCGCCTCCCGCTGAGGGGCGCCGAGCCGAGACTCCAGGCCCGCCTTGATGCGCAGGATGCCGCCTGCAGGGGGCGAGGGGCGCCGCACGCAGAGGAGAGCGCGCGTCAACATGCCAGCCGTCCTGCTGCTGGGTGCACCGCTGCAAACCGTTGATTGCCTGCTCCCTGGCAGCGCACGCTGGGGCGCATGCCCTGCCCAGCCCTGTCCTGCCACCCATGGCCCTGCCCTGCCCTGCCCTGCCCTGCAGAGGCCCAGCCCGCCACCCCTGCCCATGCCTGCCGCCACCCACCGCTGCGCTCCATGAAGGCGTCCAGCTTCTTCACGGCTTCCCCCGCCACCTTGCGGCTGGTGGCCGAGGTGGCGGCGGCCAGCAGGCCGGCATACATGTTGTTGGTGGCCACCGAGGCGGTGTTGGCGTCGTCCAGGCCCAGAGCCAGCACGCCCTCATACCCCACCACGGCCTCGTCGCGCCGCCCCAGCCGCTCGGCCACGTACGCCAGCTGGGCGGTGACGGGCGCCAGCTCAGCCGCCACCTCATCCTCGCCAAGGTCCTCGTCATAAAGAGCCTCCTCGCCTGCAGGAACCCTCGCCAAGTCACATCAATCACATCATGTCAGCAGACTGTTGCCACGCAACCGCTCACGCGGCGCTGCGCCAGGCCCCAACCGCCCTCACCTCAACACACACGCTTCCACACGTATGCCCAGGCACCTCCCCCGGCAGCCCGCTCACTCACCCACTCGCACCGCCAGCTGCAGCTGCTCCTCCGCCGCCCGCAGCTGCCCCGCCTCCACCAGGCCGCAGGCGGCATTGAAGGCAATCTCAAAGCTGTCCTTGGCTGAGATCTGGGGGCGGGTGCAGGGGGACAGGCAGGCGGGCATGGGGACAGCATGGGTGGTGGATCCACACTCCACCTGGTGGTGGCAACGGCAGTCATTCCACAGCGGCATCAGGACCCGCGGCGGCCGCATCAGCAGGGTGCACAGCCGTGGCCGAAGAGCCGTCGCTCCTGCCACCCCTCCTGCACCACCACGCCCCTCTTGCTGGCGTCCCCATCCATGTACGATCCACCACACATCACCCATCCCGCCACCCTCCCGCCCGCTCCCCTTCCCACCTTCATCGCCTGCATGACAGCGGGCACCTCGCCGGCTCGCCCGCCCGCCACATACGCCGCCACCACGTTTGTCTGCACCTCCCGGCTCTCCGCGCTGTGGCTGCGGAACAGCTCGCTGTACAGAGCGATGGCCTCCTTGTTGTCGCCCAGCCGGTAGTGAATCTGCGGGGCAAGAGACGTGGGGAGGGAGTTGGGTGCTGTGCATGCGATTGGACTGGCAGCAGGCATCTGCGGCTCATGCGCAAATGCAATGGGCTGCAGCCGGGTGCTGGCAGGCTGCGCAGTGCTGCATATGCTGCGGCGCATCCGCCCCACCTGCGCCTCGAGTTGCAGGCGTGCCACCTCCTTGTCGGCAGGCACCTCCTTCAGAGCGGCCAGCGCCTCTGGGAGCTTGCTGCGGCGGTACAGGCAGTATGCCTGCGCATGGGGCCGCAGCATGGTCTTAGGAACACAAACCTGACCAACTGCTGCCATGCCGGCTTGCCAGGGGAGTCTGCCACCCGCTTGAGCTCCCCTGCTGCCAAGCGAAAGTGTATTCTCCAGTGCGCACCTTCTCAAACGCCATGCTCGCCGCCAGCGGCGGCTGGCTAACCAGCTTCAGCGCCTCCTCATGGTTTCCAGACTCGATCAGCAGCACCGCCTTGCACCGCAGCGCATCCTCGTCGCCCGGGGCCAGCTTGAGGACTGCGAGGAGCGGTGGGGGCGAGGTAGAGCGGCGCGGGCGTCGAGATTGGCAGCGGCGGCGGTGGCGGTAGCGGGGGTGGAAGTCCGGGCCAGCCGGGGCTAATGCAGGCTGTCATACATCCCACGTATGTTCAGGGCGACACAACGCAACAGGGCCCAGCAGCCAGCAGGCGCTCACTCTCATCGGCCGCCTTCAGCCCCCGCTTGCTCTGCCCGTTCTTCACCGCGGTGTCCAGGCGGGCGAAGAGCGCCTCCACCTGCTCCGCCATCGGGGCGGGGTGGCGCGATCAGCCGGCAGCCCCAGGGAGCACCTGTTCAGCAGCGACTGAACTACCCCCGACAATTGGAGAATGCACGATCCCTGTGGGGGACCGCGCCAAAGCATGTACAGCAGGGCGGGAGCGGTACGGTGGCGTCTTACTTCATGGAGCCGGGCCTGGCAGGCTGGCTCCACTGCCATGGTCCAATGGCATGTGGCTGAGGATGAGGCGCTGGGCTGTGGCGACACTGAGCCATGCGGCAAGCACTGAACCGCTCTGTGGACCCCTGCAGCTAGCGGCAGCCCCGAGGTGCATGGGCAGCCGCCTGCTCCTGCTGCGAGCGTAGCCTCCATCTGGTCTGAGTCTCGTCCAGCAGCCGTGTCGTGCATGCCTGCAAGCTGCCGCTCCACCAAATATTGAGCGGCACTGGTGTGGCGCCAGAGCTGGAGCGCTTGTCGACTAGCCCTCTGGGTGTGGGGCAGTGTGGGGCAGTAGGCAGCACTGGTGCAGCTGCCTACGCGGACCCTTCTAATGAGCTAGCGCCAGGCTTCTGAGTTTGGGAACGCACCCTTAGACTCTTCTGTGGCGTGAACTTACTGCTGTTTCCACAAGCGCAAGAAGGGGGGACCCTTTGCGCAGCCTGCGATGCGAGAGGCCCGGCAGGATGGCAGAAAGTGCTGTCATGCCATCCCCACGCAAATCAAATTTCTAGTTGTCATGCATATCCTCGCCTTTGGGGCTCTGCCTCTTGCTGCCATGATGCCTTGTCCAGAGCGGCAAGGCGCCGCCAGCGAGGCCGCCAGCAAAGCACCGGTCCAATCCTGATGGGGCGTTTGATCGGCGCTCCGACCGGCATCGCACCCTGATCAACTCCCTTTCTTGGCACTCAGTGGCAACCAAATTGCCACAATGACTGTTGCGGTGGCCCAGGCCCGGTGCCAGCTTGCGCGCATGCAGCAGACCTTCTGCCGGACATTCAATTGCCGGGAGAGGCCGGCGGTGCACGCGCGGCAGGCGCTCCGCGCCCGGCCGGGGCGGCGCCACGCGCGCGGCGCCCCGCAGGTGGTAGCTGTGCGTGTGGAGAATGAGGAGGTGTCCCTGGGCACCGTGGCTCCAGACTTCGTGGTGAGCAAGGGCCTGGACCCGCCGGTAGCCGCCGTTCTCCTGCGTGCGCAGCCAAACGGTGCCGCCGCCCGGGCCTGCCCGCCTGCCTGCAGCTGCTGGAGCCGCTGACGGGCGTGACGGTCAAGCTGTCTGCATACGCGGCGGGGGCGCCAGCCACGCTGATCATGTTCATCTGCAATCATTGCCCATTTGTGGTGCACCTCAAGCCCGCCATCACGCAGCTGGCCCGGGAGTACCAGGGCAAGGGTGTCAAGGTGCTGGCCATCAGCTCCAACAGCGTGGAGACGCACCCGCAGGACGGGCCAGACAGCATGGTGAGCCTGCCCGATACATTGCAGCCAGCGCGGCGCCGCCTGCGACAGACAGCGTTGCATCTGCTCCCCGGCGCCACCCCGGCTCCTGTCGAGCCAGCGCTGCCGCCGCCGCTGCCGGCCGTGGGGTGCAGGCTGAGGATGCGCGGGCGCAGGGGTACACCTTCCCGTACCTGTTTGACGAGAGCCAGGATGTGGCAAAGGCCTACAGCGCCGCCTGCACCCCCGAGTTCTACGTTTTCGATGGCGAGCTGAAGCTGACGTACCATGGGTGAGTGGGGCGGCGGACAGGACATGGCAGTGATGCCGCATCGCTGCTGGTGTTGATGGCGCCAGGGGGAGCAGCTGCACTCGATAGGGCCGTGCTGCATCGGTGGCCCTCCCCTGCCTTCGCTGCAGCCAGTTCGATGACAGCCGGCCCAGCAAGTACGGCGGCGACGCGCCGGTGACTGGTGCGGTGCAGGCGGGGACACGCAAGCGCTTGCCGGCCAGAGTTGCAGGCGCCGAGGCAGCGCATGCGATGTGTGTGCATGAGCGTGCCCTTTGCTTGCACGCCGCCGAGCCCTGCCGCTGCCTGTTTGCGGCGGTGCAGGTGAGGATCTGAGGCATGCGTTGGACTGCACGCTGGCGGGCCGGCCGCTGGAGCGGCGCGTGAAGAACAGTATCGGGTGCAACATCAAGTGAGGGGGCCGCTGCTGAGCATTGCATGTCCTTCCCACCCAATCCCGCAGCTGGCCCTGTGACCAGTGAACCCGTTTGCCTCGCCTGGCGCTCGCTGCAGGTGGCACCCTGGCAAGGCCCCGGCCTGGTTCCACGGCTGAGCAAGCCGCCACAGCCTGTTTCCCCGCTGTGTTCTGACAAGTTGACATCATAGGGCAGGCCTTTTTCTCTGCTCCCTGCTGGCGGGAACACACCAATCCACGTTTTCATTGATTTGATGCCCTTCGGCCTTTCTGCTTCTGTCCAGGCCATGTCCACTCCATGGCCACACTGCCTCCGCTCACTTCCATCACTGCCCTGCACTCCCCACTGGCCAGCTTGCTAAGAATTAAATCAGAAGCAGGATCAAATGTGAGCACCGCCAATGAAATGGGTAGGGCACCAGGGTTATAGATGCACAGAAAGAGGCTGCCATGCACGCTCGAGCGGATGTGTCTCGAGGCGTGTTTCCCACGCATGCATGCGTCATGCCGTGCTGAGCTGCTTGCTGCACGCCTGCAGCGCTTCCAGCAGCGCAAGCTCCGCCGCCGCCGTCAGGCGCTTGCTGTCTGCGACCTCGCGCATGGCAGCGGGCGCCGCCTGCCACACCGCGGCCGTCAGCCGCGCCAGGCGGGCGGCCACCTCCTCCGGCTGCGTGCCGTCCAGGAAACCGCGCTGCAGGGCCAGCAGCTGCACCACCTACAAGACAGGTGGGGCAGGGAGGGCGAGCGTGTGTGAGATCAAGGTGGAAGTTGGTGGGGCACGAGAGATATGTGCAGCTGCGACGAGAACCCCAAGCCCCTGCCCCTGCCCAGCACACATCCAAACGCGCACCACCACACACACACACACACACACACACACACACACACACCTGCTCCTCCAGCGCCACTGTGGTGCGCTGCGGCTGGGGCAGCGCCGCCGCCACCAGCGCCGCACGCAGCAGGGCCCGTTCCACGGCCGGGTCGTCCACAGAGGCGGAGAAGCGGGCCGCATCCGCCGCCTGCGCCAGGTCCAGGCGCACAGCTGGTGCCAGCGCCTCCAGGGCGGGGTGGAAAGCGCGGGAGCCGATGCGGGACACAGACAGCTGGGGGTCGACCGACACGCCGCCCGTCACTGCGAGGCACACAGGGCAGGCCGACCGGCGTGGGCTGGCATGCAGTGGTGGCGGCAGTGTGCGGCGGGGCGTTGGGAGGGAGGCAGCACACACGCCAGTGGGGCAGCATGCGGGGTGCGGGCCCATCACCGATGCTGGAGGGCCCCCCACCAGCCCAGCCAGGGCTGCGCAGCCCCGCCAACCCAACACGGGGCTTGCCGCCAGGCTGGCGCCAGGCTGGCGCCCCGCCCCGGCCACACAAAACCGCACCTGGGTCGCAGGCCGCCCGCAGCACCACCTGCCCGTCTGTGATCGACATGAACTCCTCCACCACCTCTGTGCGCAGCTCCTGGGCCCCGGCCTGCCGCCCCGCCCCCGCCGCCTCCCGCGCCTCCACCGCCGCGAGCAGCTTGGCCTTCTGCCCCGCGCTCAGGTGCTTGTAGGCCTGCACCTTCTGCCGGGCGCGGCGCGACTCGCCTGCACAGCATGCACGGCGTGGCACGCAGCGCGCACAGCGGGCGCAAGTGGAGCGCGGTCGGCGCTGGCAAGATTCCGTGGGCGGAGGCCAGGGCAGCCGGCTCCTCCTATCTTGCCCAAGGGCCAGCCATGCCACGCAGCCATGCCACGCAGCCATGCCATGCGCATGCCGCTCAGCGCCCACTGCCGCTCACCGCTGGCGGGCAGGCCGGGGGTGACCAGCAGCAGGGTCATGGTGCCGCCGCGCAGGCGCCGGTGCATCTTGGCCGCGCGCTGGATCAGGCTGGAGAAGAACCTGCGCCGCTGCGCCGCCGCCGCCGACACCAGCATGCCTTCATACTCCACAAGCTCCTCAGGCGCCTCCTCCTCCTCCTCCGCCTCTGCCTCACAGGCAGACGCCGAGCCGGCGCCCTGCTGCTCCTGCTCCGGCTCCTGCGCCGCCTGGCCGTCGGTGCCAGGCGCCGCTGCTGCTGCTGCAGTGGCGGCCTTGAGCTCTCCAACGTCTGCCTCGGTGGCTGCAAAAGGCGGTACCGGGGCAGGCGGAGGCTTGCGTCGAAACGATGGTGGGTGGACGGAGCAGCAGGCAGCTGCCCTGAGCAAGCATGATGCGGAATATGGGTCGCTAGGGTGTGGCAGCAGGTGCACCAGCAGGCGAGGCAGCACAAGGTGGGAGCGGGAGGGGCAGCAGCAGGGCGGCAGCAGGCGGAAGGCGTACCTGCTTGCGCGGCTGCCCCCAGGGAGGCCATGGCGAATGTGATCATCTCCCACATGCGCACCTGCGGGGCAGCGAGGAGCAGCGGCCGGGCCAGGCAGGCAGGTAGGCAGGCAGGCAGCGCATGGCTCAGCAGCCCGCACGGCGCTGTTGCCAGCTAGGAGGCAGACAGGTTGGCTCGCCAGAGGCCATCAGGCGGCGGCACGCCGGAGCAAGTTGCGAGCAGGCAGTACCGCAGTGCACCTCACAAGGGGAACACCCCTTCCCACACCGCCGCACGCACTACGAGCATGCCAGTGCAGCAGCAGCCCTTCCACCCCACCCACCCACCATGACGGACACATCATTGAGAACCACCAGCGAGTGGCCGCCCTCATCCCGCACCCGCTCCCCGATGCTGCACGCCGTCAGCGTGGCCGCGTACTGCTCCCCCAGCGGGCGGTCCCCTGTGGCAGCCACCACCGTCGTGTACTCCAGGCAGCCGTGCTGCCGCAGCTGCTCCACAGTGCGCCGCAGCTGCTCGTGGCTGGCGCCCACGGCGGCGTACACGCACCGCACCCCCGTGCCGCGCTGCCCGATCACCGCATCGATGCACAGCTGCAGGCGCGCGGGCAAGAAGGGCAAGTGGGGTCCCATGAGACGGGCAAGGTGGACACAGCAGGATGATGCACAGGCAGGCAGGCTGGAGAGCCAGGGCCGCCTGCTGCCTGGCAGGCTTGAGCGCGCGGGCGCTGCGGCCCCACCTGCGTCTTGCCGCTGCCCTGCGGCCCCACAATCTGCTGCGCCTGGCCGCGCCCCAGCGGGGTCAGGATGTCAAACGCCTGCACCCCGGCCGGCGGCAGCAGCAAATAGGTTACGCAGGGTGTGTGCAGCCCCCAAAGGAGTGCAGGGACATGTTGACTGCAAGAGTGCGACATCATGCTGGTGCAGGGGCCGGCACACTCCTCAACGCAAGAGCTCTTCAGATTCGCAGATCTGCACCAGATTGCAGGGCACAGGGCCGCACCTTGACCCCCGTCATCAGCGGCTCGTTGATCTGCTCCCGGCTCTCCATGTCTGGCTGCCCGTTGAGCAGCGGCAGCAGCTGGTCGGCGCCGATCGGCGCCGCCGCGTGCTTCTGCTGCGCTGCGTGGCCGTTGTTGCCGCCAGCGGCGGCGACGGCCGGCTCGGCGGCCGTCTGCAGCGGGTAGGGCCGGCCCAGGAAGTCCACAACTTGCCCCACCAGCGCCTCGCCGACTGCAGGAGGAGGGTGGCGTGTGCTTGGTGGTGGGGATGGAGGGCCAGGGAGCAGGTCGGGGTGCGTGGGAAAGGGAAAACAATTGATGCCGGCGTCCTCCTCTTCATGCTACTCGTGCCAATCCCCCGCCGAGCCCCTACCCCGTGCCAGTTACCCTGCCGGGCCCCTGCCTACCAGCCCCCCTGCCTCACCTGGCACCAGCATCTCCTGATACTCGCGCTTGGTGATGGGCCCCTCCTTGTCGTCCAGCACCTGCACACACTAGCCAGCATGCCAGGCGCAGGCGGGCGCGGATGGAGCGGCGAAGGCAGCGCAGGCAGGGCCGGCAGATGCGGCAAGCAGGAGGCAGGCGGTGGTGGTGCCGGCTGGCTGGCTGGCTGCTGCAACAAGCTCCGGCCTAGCCGTGCATGCAGCGGCGCTGGGACCCTGGGCATGCGGCTGCTGTGCGCACCAGCCCGTCATCCCACCTGCAAGATGCCCTTGACCTGGCACTCCACGCCGTCGCCCACGGACACCAGCCCCGCCCCGCCCAGCAGCAGCGCAAAGACTACGTTGTCCGAGCGGCGCCACAGCATCACGCTGCGGGAGGGCAGGAGCGGAGGAAGAGGGGCGGGGATTTGTGGCCCACACGCTGCAGCAACAGGTGCTGCTGCAAGCCAGCTGCTCTGCCCAGCCCGGCGCGGCGAGGAGCCACCGGGGATACGCCGCCTTCTCACCCGCGTGCGCCGCTGGAGAAGGCCAGGCAGGTGCCCACATCGGCGTCGTTGTTCAGGCCCTCGATGATGGCCACATTGTCCTTGGCGTACAGCACCTGCAGCGGAGGCAGAAGAACTAAAGACAATGGGCAGGCCGTGAGCTGAGCGGGTGCCTCCGGCGCCTTTGCGGCAGCGGCGGCGCACCAAGCCCTGTCCTCTCTGCACTCACCCTGCCCACGTCAACCTTCTCCAACTCGATCTTCCTTTGCACCTCGAGCTGGGAGGGCTTCATCGTGCGCTGCTTGAACAGGGCGACCTCTGCCTCCCAGTCTGGCTCTCCCTCGGAGCTCTCCTGGGCCCGGGGACGGTTCTGATTGCGTGCATGGCCCCGCCGAGCATAGCCGCTATGCACCAGCAGGCGCAGGGGCTCGCCCCAAACCAGCCGAGGCGGGCGCACGGCGGCAAGCATAGGGCCTATGCTAACAACTGCCTGCCTACTGTTTACTCGGCAATTGCAAGGGATCGGCAGGTGCCAGTGATCGGTAGGTGATGCCTGGTCATCCCAGGTGCAGCACTGGCGGCACCGGCAGCGTGCTGGGCGGGGATCGGTGAGACCTTTCCTGCTCTGCTTCTACTAGGCGCATACACGCCGATGTAACAGGAAAAGACGACAGGGACACCACATTCCCGTCAGAGTGGGCGTCCACTTTCACAAACGCGACCTACCTGCCACCACCTGGGGCACCACGCCCCAACTTTCGTCACTCATCGCTTCATGCCAACACAGCAAAGATGGTGACACCATCAAAACAAAGCAAAGGCAGTAACATGTCCAAGAACGGACTCGAATTGCACACAGCAGACGGCGGGCAGCGGGGCGGCGGGGCGGCGGGGCGGCGGGCGGCGCCAACTGCTGGTCCCACAGCACGCAGCACGATGTTGCAAAGAAGCTTTCCAAGTCTGCTAGCATTGCTTTAACAGTCGAAACATCCCATCGGAAAGCTCTCCGCCTCTGCCACCGGCAATGCAGGCACTGCGCTTTTCCCCAACCACACAGGGCTACCAGGCTTCCACGCAGAGGCCTCGAGCTCGACGATCAGCAGCCAGGCTTGTCGCTGGGCGGCCTGCAGCGGGCTTGTCACAGCCCGGCAGGTGCGCCGTGCCCGCCGCTCCCGCCTGTGCACGCTTGGCTCGTCTCCGCTGGTTTCTAGAGAAAAAGCAGCACGAAGCGCAACTCGGCGTTAATGCACTGCACATTTCGCTACACGCAGACGAGCGCTGCTTGCGGCCGCGGGAGGCAGCCTTGCATTGGCTGGCGGCCTGCTTGCGGCGGGGGCGCTGGGCGCGGCAGCCATGGCGGCTGCGGCAGCAGCAGACCCCAACACGCTGGTGCGCACGGGGATGACCAAGTTCCGGGAAAACAATGTGGAGGGATCAGTTGCAGATTTCGATGCCGCCATGGCGGCTGGCCCCTCCATCAGGCCGTACCTCTGGTGAGGGGTAGAGGCGAAAGGGCCAATGGCGGTTGTGGGGAATTGCGGAGAGCCGCGCCACACCCATGCAAGGTTGTCCAAGCTCCCTTGCACTGCCGCTGTGCAGGCAGCGGGGCCTCTCCCTCTACTACCTGCGCCAGTTTGAGGAGGGAGCCAAGCAGGTGCGCCCGCCTTCCACCCTCCTGTGCACCTGGCTCGCCCGGCAGCAGCTGTGGCGGGCAAGGCAGCCACCAGTCACGGCACGGCATTCCCTCCACTGCATGCACATTCCTGGTGCCACGGTTTTGATATACAATGGAACAACTGGCCGTGAGCATGCCCCCGCATCCCTGTCTGTTCTGCCGCAGTTCCGTGACGATGTGGCGGTGAATCCAAACGACACCGAGGAATCCATCTGGGCCTTCCTGTGTGAGGCCCAGCTGCTGGGGCCAGACCAGGCGCGGCAGCAGTTTCTAGAGGCAAGTGCGGCCGCAGGCTGCTGGCATGCAGGCTGCTAGGCTTGCTACTGGCGCAGGTGTGGGTTGCAGGCCTGGGCCTGGCATGCCTCGGTGCACCTCTCCTGGGGCTGACGGCGCAGCCGTCGATGGGTCTGCAGGTGGGGAGGGACTCGCGGCCCGTCATGCGCGCCGCGTACGAGTGCTTCCGCACCGGGGCGCAGCCAGACAGCATCCTGCAGGCGAGCCCGTTTGCTGCTGCTCCTGGCTGCTGCCTGCCTGGCTGGCATGTCATGCCCATTCAGCCCTGGGCCCACAGAGCGGTTGACTGCGGTCACGGTTGGTGAAGGGCACCCAAGGCCTGGACTGAGCCATCTTGCCGCCAGGTGGCTGTGTTGCCCAGCCGCCGCCCGTCTGCCTGGCCGCAGGCGGCCCGCGGCGACCAGCAGGGTCACGACGCCTTCTACGCGCTGCTGTATGTGGGGTTGTGGCACGAGGCGCACGGAGATGCGGCGGCGGCGCAGCAGGCCATCACCCAGGTGCCTCAAAAGGCCCTCCCTTGTGGCACAGGCGGCGTGCTGGTGCCTTGTTGGTTGCTCGCTTCCATCGACCACAGCGCAGCTGCCGCTGCGGCGGAATCATTCGAGCGCCCTCTGCCCTCTTCTGCTCTGCGCAGGCGGCGCAGACAGCATACGCCAAGGGCAGCGGCGACTACATGGCCGCGCTTGCCAGGGTGCACTGCCTGCGGCGCGGCTGGCAGGCGTGAAGTGCCGGAAGCCGGGGAGGCACGCAGCCACGAGGAAGAGCTGAGGCGCCCACCGCGACACTGCTGTAGACTGCTACTGGCAGAGTTCAACACCGTGCATTGCACCATGGCTCGTCCCTGCTTGCCCCTGCATGTAATGCTGCAGGAGCGGCAGCCTCCCTTCCGCTCCTGGCCAGCCTCCCCCCGCAGCCCCCACTTCTCATGACCAGACCAGACCAGCCAGCCTCCGGTCCAGCTGTCCAGTTCTTCAGCTATCCAGTTTACAAGCGGTGCAGCTCATGTCCGACATGCAGCGCGGCGCCTGCGGGGGTTGCGCGTCGCACGGGGCGACGCGCTGGGGTGTGGGTGTGGGGCCGGCGGCCGCCGCCGCGCCCCTGCTGCTGCTGGCCCGGCACGGGCCTCGCCGGGGGCGCTCCTCTACGCCTCCTTGGACGCAACCGAGGCCATGCGGATGGCGCGCTTCTTGGCCAGCGACTCCGAGCGGCGCTCGCGCTGCTCCTTGAGCCGCGTCACCAGCAGCTTGTGGTACTCAGACGCCTCCGCCTTCTTGCGCGTGATGCGCTCCTTCTTCAGCGCCGCCCGCCGGCGCTTGCGCTGCAGCACCTGGGGAGTGACCAGGCGCTGGATCTTGGGGCACTTGACGCTGGTCTTGCCGTTCTGCAGACGGAGGGGGCCGGGGTGCAGGCGGCGGTTGGGTTTTGTGAGGCGCAGGTGCCAAGGGTGCCGTCCTTGCGGGGACAGGGTCGGGGTGAAGAGCTGGAGGGGGCATGCACGGCAGCACGCACGCACGGCGGCAGCCAATGGCCGCCTCGCCAGCTCGCCCCGTTCCCGCTGCCGCGCCTGCTCCAGCCCGGCTCCTCCGCCGCCCACCCTCCCTCCTCCAGCAGCTCCTCCTGTGCCTCCTGTGCCAGCTCCTCCTGTGGGGTGGACCCTCTCCCTCACACCATCCCACCACCTCCCCCTCTTCCCCCCGCCTCACCTTCTCCACCTTCTTGCCGTAGATCTTCACGTAGTGGCGCACGTCGTCGTCCTTGGTGAGGTTGAACATCTTGCGGATCTTGGAGGCGCGCTTGGGGCCGCGCTGGCGCGGCTTCTCCTCGTCCGTCAGCCCGGGCAGCTCGGCCTCGCCTGCGGGGGGCACGGGGCAAGGACGGGGGGGGCGCACGCAGGCGGGTCGGACGCGCGTGGGGTGCGCGAGCGGTGACAGCCGGCAGCAGCCAGGCCAGGCACAGCACCGCGCCGCGGGGACAGCCGGCAGCGCGCGTCCAGGATCCAGCAGTAGCAGCAGCAGACGGTGTGTGTGTGCGAGGCCAGCCAGGCGGGCACCCACCCTTCTTCACGATCACCAGGTTGAGCACCGACAGGTCCTGGCTCACGATGCAGCCGCGCACGCTCTTGCGGCGGCGCTCGCCGTTGCGGCGGCCGTAGCCGCGGAAGCACTGGTCGCCGGGGCTCATCAGCACCTGCGCAGCGCGGGAGGGGGGAGGGAGGCACGCAGCGTGAGCCACCATGCGCTGCTACCTGTGCCGGCGGGCGCAGGTGGCGCAGCCAACAGTCGAGGAGCGCAGCGGGGCAGAGCCGGTGCTGGCCATGCTGCCTGGCTGCACCCACTGCTGGTACTGTCGCTGCCAGCTGCCAGTGGCTGCCCAGCTGTCAGGCAAGCTCCGAGCAGCACAGCGGAGGCCGAGCGTCCCCGCTGCAAAATGGCACTTGCACCAGTGCGCTGCCCCCGACGGCATTCAATCCAAGGCTGCACAAGTGCCCAAGGCTACCGCTGCAGCAGCGTGAGCTGCATGACTGCTGACACGTCGCGACGCATGCTGACAGGCTGCCGGTCAAACGCTGCTCCATTCCCTTCATCCAGGCGCCCTTGCTGCCACGCTGCGCTCCTCCATACGCCCGCCTGCTGCCGAGCGCTGCCTCCAGCCTGCCGTTTGTGCTGTCTGGAGGCCTCGCATGCCACCTGCCGCCGCCAGTCCTGCTGCCGCGCTGTGTCCTGTGCTGCGCACCATCCTACTGCCCCGCGCCACGCAGCCAGCAGGGCAGCAGGGCAGCGCAGCAGGGCAGCAGCGAGGCGGCACACGGCACGGTACATGCACAGGCGGTGATGCGCACCTGCACGCGGCCGTTAGTCAGCACGCCCTGCTTCATGGGGAAGCCCTGCTTGTCCTGGCCGCCCATGATCTTGAAGACGTAGCCCTTGAACTCCTGGCGGGAGGCAAGCAGGAGCAGGCAGGCAGGCGGGTGAGCAGTGACGACGACCTCCACCGCCGCCGCCGCCCGCAGCAGCAGCCTTGCTGAGGAGGGTTCGCATGCTGGCCGGCTGCGAACCATGGCTGCGGCTGCGGGGCCGCTGCCTGCGGTGCTGCCGCCATGCCCGCGTGCTGCTGGCTCTCTCGGAGCTGCAGGACCTCATTTGTCCCCAGGCCGCACTGCCGCTGCCCCTTGCCCAGCTGCAAGGACCTCCCGCTCTGGCTGCGCTCCAGCCAGGCTGCTGTGCTGGTTGGAGGTTCGCCAAGCTGCACTGCTGCACCTGAGCCATCTGAAGCTGCGCAGCTCGCACACAGCAGCACAGCAGCATACGGCGGCAAGGGTGCCGGCGGCAGGCGGACGCACCTCGCCCAGGGCCTCGCCATCAACCTCCTGCGACACGCGCTTGTCGTAGAAGGCACGCCTGCAGGGTTGGCGGGCGGGGAGAGGTGTGAGCCCGGCCCCACAGCCCCGCTGGGGGCTGCCCACGGCCATGCAGCCTCATGCCGGCCACTCACAGCTTGGCATCGTCCTCAATCTCCAGCTTCTTCTGGCACCCCGTACTGGGGAATGCGATGTTGAGCTGCAGGGCAACAGCAAGGAGCGGATGAGCGGCGCGAGTGCATGGCCGCCACGGCCCGCTTGCGGCTCCAGAAAGGGCCGCTGCAGTGACAGAGGTGTCCCCAATTGCTTCCAGCCGCCCGCAGCCCTCCTCCATGCCTCCCCCGCTGCCCAGCGGTCATGCTCAGTCCAGACTCGCCTTCATGGTGCCGCCCTTCGCTCCAGCGACTGCTGCAGCGAGGCTCCAAAGGACAGGGGCAGGCGGGGACCCCCGTTTTGGCCCCGCCTAGCTGGCATGACCCCGGCATTGGGAGTGGGACGTCGGTGTCGCTCGGCGCTGCCCGTAAGTTAATGCATGTGTAGTGCACGTCACATCGACCCGTTTGCACTGCCAGACAGGGCGTTCCGTGCCAGCAGACTGGGACCCCAACCCGTGGAACAACACAGGTCCGCGGCTTGTCGATTGTGCTCCTGTGAACTACTAGATTGTTGGAAAAAAGACCCGAGCTGCGCGGGTTGCACCCCCGAGTTGCGGCTGCCAGTGCCAACGCGCACGCTATTTACCGCCCAGAAGAGCCTCAGCGACCCGCACTGTCGCTCCTGGGGAGCATGGGTTCGCGAGCGAGCCATCGATCGGCTCGCGGCGTGTGCTAACCCCCCTGTCGACTGCAGGGCTGCGTGACGGCCCTCAACGCGCCCTCGGGCGCCAGCCCAACCCAAGGAACCAGCGACCAGCATGGTTCCCGAGGAAGGGGCTCATCAGCGAGGCGACAGCGGCGCTGAGGACTCTGGGCCACTGCCAGAGGCGCCGCCGCAGCAGGCGGCGGGCGGCGGGACTGCGACCGGGGTGGCAGCTGACAGGATGGATCCAGGTGTGCTTCTGGTGCCTGTGCGCATGCTGAAGGCTGGCCATGGCATGCACCAGGCGCCCGGGCTGCATGTGTGGGTGCCCAACAGCCGTACTGGCATCTCCACACGGTCCGCCAGCCGGTCAGCTGCCGCCACTGGAGCTGCCCTTATTGCATGCGGGCACTGCCCTGCATGCCCAGCCCAGGCTGCGAGGCTGACGGTGCGCCGCTGGCACCTGCCCCGCCGCCGCCGCCGCCCGCTGCAGGCGCCCCTGGTAGCGGTCGCCGGCAGCTCGCGTCGGCCGTCAAGGCCGGCGCCCAGCTGGGCACCTGGCCTGACGAGGAGGCTGTCCCCCTGGCCGCCGTGCCCTGCGACGACGGCGCCGAGGCGGCGGCGCCGTCGGGTCGCCCGCGCCGCGCCTCTGCCGGCCTGCTGCGTGTTGAGGAGGAGTATGGGTATGAGTCGGAGGAGGATTCGGAGCCGGATGCAGGCGCCATCCCCAGCGACGGCGACAGCGATGACGGCGGCGGCTGGCGGGGCGGCGGCGGCTGGCGGCACGCCGCGCCCGCGCGCCGCTCCAGTGGCCGGCGCCGCGCCTCGGCCGCCGCCCCGCTGGAGACGGTGACCAGCGGGCGGCCCAAGCGGCAGCGGCACAGCAGGGCAGAGGATCCAGACATGCTGGACACAGAGGAGGCGATTGCGGCGGCGCTGGAGGAAGGGCTGGTGGCGCCGCCGGCGGCGCCACGCACCCGCACTCGCGCCGCGCCGCCGCCCAAAGCCCCCGCGGCGCCGCCCCTGCCGGCGCAAGGCGCGAGCGCAGGCCTGCCGCCGCTGCCGTTGCCGCTGCCGGCGCAGGATGCCAGCGCGGCCCTGCCGCCGCTGCCGCTGCCCTTACCCCCGGCCGACGCGAGCGCGGCCCTTCCGCTGCTGCCGCTGCCGCTCCCGCTGCCGTCGGCAGCTGCGGGCGCAGCACCGCCGCTGCCACTCCCGCTGCCCACCCTGCCCATCACGGCGCTCGCGAGCGCCGGCGAGGCCGCTCCAGCAGCAGCCGCCAAGCAGGCCGGCGCCGCGGCGGGGCCCAAGCCTGGCAGCGCCGCGCCGTGGCTATCCCTGCCGTTTGCCGTGTCGGCCATGCACCCCCTGGCAGCGATGGCACAGATGGCGGCGCTGACGGCGGCGCAAGGCACCGCAGCCATGATGCTGCCGCCCTCCTTCCAGGCAGCCGCCGCCTTCCAGGCAGCCGCCGCGGCGCAGGCGGCCGCACGGGGAGCTGCCGCGCCGCGGCCCAAGGCACCAGCGGCAGCGGCAGCAGCCCAGGCCAAGGCAGCAGCGGCAGCGGCAGCAGCGCAGGCCGGCGCAGCAGGCCAGCCCGCAGCCCCTGCTGCGACTGCAGTGAAGGTCGAGCCAGCAGCCGCCGCACTGCCAGCAGCAGCGCTGCCAGCAGCCGCAAGGCCGCAGCCAGCGGCGGCCGCTATGAAGGCGGAGGGCGGCGCGGCCAGGACGGCAGCTGCCGAGAAGCCGCCACGCCCCCGCGGCGCCGCCGTGGACGTGCTGTACGGCTGTGCCAAGTGTCGGTACCTTCGGGCGGGGTGCGGCGCGTGCCGCGCCCGCGACCCCGCCTTCACCCGCCCCCGCCTGCGCTGGAAGCCGACCAAGGGGCACTACCAGACAGGTGCGGCGTCGCCTGGTGGCTGCCGCCTGGGATGGAAAGCACGGCGCCCCGCCTCGCCCCGTGCCGCTGCTCGCCTTCCCAGCGTGCCTGCTCCCCTACCTGCCCTGCCCCTCCACCTGCCCAGCCTCCCTGCCTCCTGCTCGCCTCCCCGGCCCGCCTGCCCTACCCGCTGCCCACCCCTGCCCCGGCGCGTCTGCCCGCAGGCATCGAGGCGCCGCCCACCTTCCGGCCGACTGCCGAGGAGTTCCGGGACCCCATCGCTTACATCTCCCGCATCAAGCCGCAGGCAGAGAAGTACGGCGTGGCGCACATCGTACCGCCGCCAGGTGGGCGCCCGTAACGCGGGGGGGATACTTTAGCGCGGCGCGGGACGGCGTGCAGCGGCCGCCTGCGGCGCATGCCGGGCTGCTGCGGGCACGCACGGCCAGCCCGGCTGCTCAGCTTGCTCGCCGGCTCGCCAGCGTGGCGGGTGTTCTGCTGCCGCGCGGTTGGCTGGTGTTGCCCGTGCCGTGGCCGCCTGCTGCTGCTCACGTGTCGCCCCGCCGTGCCTGCCGGCGCAGGTTGGGACCCTCCCTTTGCCCTGGAGCGAGGCACCAACGGTCTGAGCATGGAGTCGTTCCGCTTTGCCGTGCGCAAGCAGTTCACCAGCCATCTGTGCTGCCGCGCGGCGCCGCCGCCGCGCGCGCCCGACACGCCGCCGGCGCAGAGCCCCGCGCCCGCGGCGGGCGGCGGCGGCCGCATGTTTGGCGGCAGTGGGCGCATGGCGGCCGCGTCCCTGGGGGGCGGCGGCAGCCCCGATGGCGGCGCTGGGGACGGCCCGCAGCAGCCACAGGCGGAGCAGCAGGCAGAGCGGCAGGCAGAGCAGCCGCAGCAGTCAGAGCAGCAGGCAGAGCAGCAGGCAGAGCAGCAGGCGGAGCAGCAGCAGCAGGCAGGCGAGGCGATGGAGGTGGATGTCGCTGGCGGCGAGGCCGGCGGCGCGCCGAAGCCGTCGCCGGCGCCTCAGCTTGCCGCAGACCCGCCCGCCGCGCCGCCCAAGTCGCCCTCGTCCCCGCCGCTAGAGTTTGGGTTCCCGCACCTGGTGAGCTTGGCAGAGAGGGAGAGGAGGGAGAGAGGGGAGGAGGGAGGGAGGGAGGGAGGGAGCGAGGGAGAGACAGCCCCACCCTGCCAGCCAGGCTGCCTTGCTCGCCGGGCAGCGCAAGCGCAGCACGGCAGCAGGGCATCGGCGTGTGAGCCTCCCAGGCACCCACACCGCCGGCTGAGCGCCCGCCATGCCGCCTGCTGGCCTGCCGCCTGCAGGAGCGCAAGCACACGCTGCGCTCCTTCTCTGCCTATGCTGACTGGGCCAAGGAGGTCCACTTCTCAGGTGGGTGAGGGAGGGGGCGACTTGGTAGGCGGGTGGCGCCAGAGGGGGTGGGTGTGCAGTTGGGGAGGCAAGCAGGAAGGGCCAGATGGGGAGGCAAGCAGGAGGGCCCAGATGGCTGCAGCAGCGTGGCAGGTGGCGCCGCCCCATGCGCTACCCCATCGAGTCATGCTGCCCCCTCACCCTGAGGAAGCGCGTGCCATGCCTGCTGTGCCGTGCGCTGCAGACCCGCTGCCCACGCAGTCGAGCTCGCGCGGCGGCGGCGGCGCCGCCGCCATGCGCGGCGCCCGCACCTCGCAGCGCCGCCCCCGCGCCCTCCCCAATTTCTGCACCCAGCCAGGTGCCCGGCCGTGCCGCGCCTGCGTGTGCCGCGGGCGCCGCGTGTGCTTGTGTGTGTGTGTGTGCCTGGGCTGCCGCCTCCCCCGCGCGCAACACCTCCCACGCAGCTGCCGCTGCACTCCTGCCCACATCCCCGCCGCTCCTTGCTCCCGCCCGCCCTGCTGCCTGCCCCGCCGGCAACCACCCTCCACCTCCCCCTGCAGAGCCCAGCATCGAACAGATCGAGGCGGAGTTCTGGCGAATTGTGGAGTCTCCGGAGGAAGTGGTGGAGAGCCTGTACGGCCAGGATGTGGACAGCGGGCACCACGGCTCGGGCTTCCCGCTGCCCCTCTGGCGCCGCCGCCTGCTGGAGCAGCACCTGGCCAGGCAGGCGGCGGCGGCGGGCGGCGGCGCGGCGCCGGAGCTGCCGGGCTATGCGGATGGTGAGGGCCTCATGCGGCGCCCGCCCGCCCAGCCAGCCCGCCTGCCCGCCCAGCCTGGCAGCCCTGCTGCTCCCCCGCGCCCCTCTGCGCACACACCCATCCCCCTCCTGCGTCCTTCACGCGCCGCCCTTGCCGACCCCTGCCCGCTTCACGCCCCGCCACCCCGCTCCCCAATCTCAACCACACCGGCAGCGCGGCAGCGTTGCCTGCTCAGCGCCGCCGGCACGCCAGCCCCCCACCCCGTCCCCTGCGCCCTCCCATCCCCTCCCCCTTGTACCGCAGAGGAGGAGCGGCGGTACGCGGAGCACCCCTGGAACATCAACAACATGCCGCGCTGCGCCTCCTCCGTGCTGCGCTACCTGCCCGGCCTGCGCGGCGAGCTCATCACGGGCGTCATGGTGCCCTGGCTCTACGTCGGCTCCTGCCTCTCCGCCTTCTGCTGGCACGTGGAGGACCACGCCCTCTGCTCCGTCAACTACCACCACATGGGCGCGCAGAAGGTGGGGGGCGCATACGTGTTGTGTGTGCGTGCGCGCTTGTTTGTGTGCGTGCATGCGTGCGCGTGTGTGTGAGAGTGTTTGTGTGTGCGTGGCGGTGGTCCTGTGTGTGTGTGTCTGTGTCTGTGCGGTTCTGTCCTCTCCCTCATCCACGCACACCTCCCGGTCTCCTCGCCCTCCC